CTTCTTTACTTAAGCTATGCAATTATCCCCAATTCATTTTTAGGATCGGCGTTTGCTGTTGATTAATTAATCTATTGGTCATGATTTTCCACCTGAATGTCTTCTTTTTAAGAATGTACAGTCGTCACCATAAACCTAATCAAAATATGCCACCCGAGTGCCCACCACAATAAAGACATGTTCAGTGTTTCTGAGATTGTTACTGACTTTTTAGATTTGACGGGACATGTCCTAGAGGATGCCACATATATGTTTCAAATTTAACGCCAAAAACCACAAACCCCTTTCCCTTTTATGGTGAGGCCGATTTAGACCATAAAGAACTGATGGCCTGTTAAGATAACTACATCCATACAATGCACATCGTCACAGAATGCGACTGACTGTGCTGGTTTCATCTTTGCAGAACGAAACAGGTTGTCCATGATTAATCGTGGTCACTGAACGCGACTTGGTTTCACGTTTTTTACAGAATTTGACTGATGTCTTTGTTTAACGTTCTTCACAGAATTTGACTGATGTCTTGGTTTCACGTTCTTCACAGAATTTGACTGATGTCTTGGTTTCACGTTCTTCACAGAATTTGACTGATGTCTTGCTTTAACGACTTCATCAGAATTTGACTGATGTCTTGCTTAAACGACTACATCAGAATTTGACTGATGTCGTGGTTTAGTTTATGGTATGGAACACGATTCACCGTTGTGGCTAAATGTTTGCAAAGGAACGAGACTGAATGTCTTGGTTTAACGTTCTTAACAGAATTTGACTGATGTCTTCGTTTGACGTTCTTTACATAATTTGACTGATGTCTTGGTTTGACGTTCTTTACAGAATTTGACTGATGTCTTGGTTTGACGTTCTTTACAGAATTTGACTGATGTCTTGATTTGACGTTCTTTACAGAATTTGACTGATGTCTTGATTTAGCGACTTCATCAGAATTTGACTGTGTCTTGACTCAACGTTCTTTACAGAATTTGACTGATGTCGTGGTTAAGTTTTTGTTATGTCTTGGTTGAATGTTCGCAAATGAACAGGACTGAATGTCTGAATTAAGTATTTGTCGAAGCACACGTCAGACATTATCAGGTCAGTGTTCCTCAAAGAACGAGTCTGACAGCCTTGGTTTAGTTTTCGTTACGGAATGCGACTGTCTTAATTTCGTGACGTCACCAAATACCACTGACTATCTCAAAACTTTTGCAGATATATCGGTTAAAGCACGAGCGCGATGAGGTGGTAGTAAGGATTATAAAATTCGAAGTTTTCGTGTGGATGAAGAAATTCCCGACAACAACACAAGGCGACACTACTTCCTCTATACATTGCGTTAGCGCTGAGGTTAGTGATGATAAATGAGCGGCCCTACGTGGTGTGGTGTCCGTGCGGACAGATAACACGTGTTGTATTGACAATATGTCCATATACTCCATCACCCGGATTATAGACAGGAATAACGATTGTTACGTTAATAATTGGCTGGGGTAGCATAGACGATGACATACTCGTCACCAATGACAACCGGGGTTAACTAAGACTCGCAGGAATAACAGTATCAATCCACTCGTATGTCTGTGCAGTTATCGCGCCGACTATTAGGTTGTGGTCGTGTATCGTCTCAGCTATGAAAACACCTGTTGTTCTTTGAAATTAAGAAGACAGCGTGCTAAAATAATTTAAGAAATATTTGAAATATTGTAAATTATTTGATGATATCACTTTGCATTGCCAAATGGTTTTACAACTTGTTGATATTTTTGGGTTATTGTATCTATAAAAGCGTGAAGAGTCATTTTGTATTGTTTTTTAGTTAAAACAATGTAGTTACATGATTATCCAAGACACGTCCATGTAAAACAATCAATATGTGTAATCTACAGCATTCGGCAATCACCGAGAGGATTACCTCTAATTCTTCTGCAAGTTTTGTACACAATCTTAAACAGGAAATGCGTCATCAACCGGAAGCTTGATTCTAAATCCGCTACTAATCGGTTCGTAATGTTAAATTTCTGACATCAAACATTGAGTAGAAAATGTGTATCCTTCCAAACCATCTCGTTTCGCTTATTTGGGATTTTCCTTGTTTTAATATATCGACAGTTCCTGTTGTTTTCTCAGTGTCGAGTTCAGTGCCCTTATTCCTTGACGTCTTGACGCTGTAGTGTGTTTCTGGTTTCTGATATTCAATTTGATTGCTATAAATAACTTTTCGCGTACTATGATTGTATGTATTACTTAAATACTTGAAATTGCAATTCGATTGACTGGATGAAATTTCAGTATTAAAAGCAATTATCTATGTTATTGATATTTACCATAGATTAAATTCGTAAATGAGCATCCTTGCAGATTAACTTGAAGTTAATTCTTCTACTAAAATACTGTTTTTTAGTTATTTTCCTGAAAAAAAATACTTCATGCATGATGACATCGCCTTATCATTGTCACTACCTGGATATCGTTTGTATAGAAAATAACTAAAGCGCTTGAGATTGGTATAATGATGAAAGAAAGGCAATGAAAACACGAATCGGTATTTTCAGTAAGCCTCTCCAATGAGGACGAATTGATCATGACAGCGAATATAATTACACTACATACAACATAAAGTAATTACATATGAATGGCGAAATTAACACTAGACCAAACATTGACTTTATGGACAAAGGGCGAACATTTTACTTAGCAAAAGTTCCACGGCATACAGTATAAAGTTAAAACATATGACTTACAGGTTTAATGTAGTGGAGCCTACACGCTGTTTGATGATAGTCTGGACGCATCCATCACAAAACTCTTCTTGTCAAACACATTTTGATCATGTATTGAATTATATTGTTTGGCAGTGAATGGTGTGTCTTTGATGTATTACTATAGCCAATCAAATCCGTTACCGATTAAGAAGATATAATGTTACACTTTTTGTTGTTAAGGACGACTGTCTCGAAAAACAATCTGTTATAATATCTCCAGGTCGATGTACTGTAAATTGTTCGGAAGTGACAGTTTTGTGTGATTTGTGAGAAATACATCTATTTTATATATGGTTGTCTAGGATACATAACCTAAAGTAGGCCGACGACGACAGCGCCTTTGGACATCCTACACAACCTATATTTCATTGTTATTTGTTTCCGAAGTTTACAGCAGAAATATTGGCTGATACTGCACGAGGTCACGCGCAGCCAATCATTCAGATTGTACACCTACATGCGCTTATATCTGAAATCTCGTCGAAATCTCGTAATCCGGAAAAGATTGCTAAAATCCGAAGTGTTGCTAGACAGACTAATTAGGTTTACGTCACAACCTAGCAGACGCAATCTCACAATCACTGGTTTCATCTGATGTTCTAACATAGGGTATTTTCCACACGAGTTTTCTATTAGTTTTAGCGAGGATAAGATTGTGATTATGTTGTAATCACCCAGTGTACTGCCGCCTACTACTAGATACACTTCTATCCTCCAGACAATCCTGTTATTGTCTCGGCCACGACGAAGATTTACAGGCAGTCTAAGATGTACCGGAAATTAAGTTGGCTCTATCAACACCATAAAACGTAGAACACCTTTCATGAACAGCAGACATTTTTGACATGTTGTGAGATATTTAAGATCACCATTGTGCTTTGTGTGAACAGTTTCCGATTCTAAATGCTGGTATGATATTTTTGGCATTGTATTCAGACTGAAAAACAAAGTAAATGTCGTTCTTCCTTTTATTAGAATGCTGAAATCCTTTAAGGAACGTTCAATTCTATTGACTGTATTCTTAAACTTGCTTTAGAATCCTAGAAATCGACCGTGAAGGGAAGCAGTGGCTACCGAAATGCCCGAAGAACAAAAGCTAAAAATATTTTTATCAAGCAGTAAGTTAATCTTAGCAGGGTCTAGCAAGGTCAGGAAATGCTATCGTGAGAACTGTTATTTCAATTATACTGAATCTGGTTTATACAAACGTACGAAACAGCATCAATGTACCATAGAGTTTCAATTGTCTTCATTGACTGGTCATCGCTGTTAAAACGGCTTGTTACATGTATTTACATGTTAGGCGGGTGATACTAGAACAACCAAATTGCATGTATTTTTCTGTCAATTTGCTTTCCCCCAATGACATATTGATTGACGAACCCTTGAAACTGACGAGATTGTCAAAATTAGTTCGAAGTTATAAAAGTAATGTCTTTCCCTTGGATAAGCTGGGTATCCTCACATCAAGCTTTCCAGACTAACGAGGTGTCCAGAGTGTGATATAACCTCTTGGGGAAAACACGTGGCTCCGAGGTTTACGCAAAGTAATTAATTTAGGAAACAGTCGTCATATTAGGGACCTTGTTTCAGGTAGTCACACCTAACACTAGACGACCAAAACATTAATCACGGGGAATTAGGTTCTTTAGTTATCTACAGATTGACCAATAGTGACCGCAAGTGTCCATAATACATCGTGCTATCGATCGTGGTCCTGTACTGTAACAACCACGCCATCAACTTTATCTGATTATTTGAGTTATTCCCCCTGTACCAATAGCAAATGTAAGAGTTCATAGGTAACCGTTATTTGATAAATAAATTACATTTAGTATGCATTGTTTGGTGTACGACATGTCCGTATGCCTTTATATACTGTGGTATATATCTGTATACATCTTTTAGCATCGACAGTGTTCGACCGAATTGATTCTCAAGGACAAATCATTTCAGTATCTAAGCGTAAATGTTCTTTGCAAAAAGGCCTTACAATAGCTCGCAAACGACGGACTTACAGACGTTTTGAAAATTAGTATAATGCCACAACTTTAACGCCAAAACGCGATAGACAAAATACTGTGCATACACGACAGACATTATCTGAGGCAGTTCAAGCAACTGCTGACATTACTTACGGATATTTTGTAGGAAAGTAATTCATTGATTCTATAAGAAGTAAGATATAAAAGGAGAAACAGCGAACAACAAATTACTAATATACTGTTATGTCCTTTTCAGGATGACCACATGTAACCATGACGACCTCTCATCCGACCATCGACTCGGACCAGCAGAAGATAAAGCTTGCTGTGTTGGGTGCCCCGGGGGTCGGGAAGACTTCCATCGTCAAACAATTCGTGTGCAACCACTTCGAAGAGGAGTACGAGCCAACAGACCGGAAGCACGTGTATCTCCCGTCTGTCATCATCAACGATCACCTATATGAGCTTAAAATTATAGACTGTCCCTACATTCCTTACTTCCCAGTGAATTCTCTGTATGAATTTACAGACTTCCGAGGTTATGGATTACGAAATGCCACAGCCTATATTTTAGTGTATGACGTCACTTCCGAGGATAGTTTCCAATATATCAAATCACTACGCGATCAGATTTTGGAAAGTCGTAATATGCATGACGTTCCACTTTTTGTTGTCGGAAACAAGCATGATTTGTCAGACGAGCGCGGGAAATTCCGGCGAGAGGTCGCCAATTTGGTGAAAAAACAATGGAAGTGTGGCTACGTGGAGTGTTCGGCAAAGTTTAATTGGCATATCGTTTTGCTATTCAAAGAACTCATGAAAGCTGTGGACTTCATCGACTACGGCCATAAACCCACAGCGGTGAGAGTACAGGACGCCCTCCGACGAAACAGATGCGTTATTTTATGAGACTCGACAGAAGATAGAACACACAAATACTATATTTAATACCTTTTATTTTCAGCCTGTGCAAGTATAAATTGTCTTTTGCCTTTCAGCGGATGTTGTTAATATAATAAAGACTGTTTAGCGCATAGCCAGGGAAATGTGTTAATAAACTATAAAATCCTACACTATCGTGGACATGAAAGGCCGCGTTGTGGCTGTACGTGTATGCTGTTATTGTGTGCGTATATTATATTAGATGGTATGATCGTTTTTTGTATGTTATAGAATATCGACATGGAAATAAAGGCGAGCATTAAAAAGAGGAGTTTTATACAAAACATGTTTATAGATAGTTATTGGTGTATAAAATAGCCATAAGCCTAACATTATTGTCTTAATTTATATACCACCGTGGTCGTTATCGAACGCACCCGGTGGACAATTTGAGCGAAATCATGAAGCATTTTGGTTTGGTCACAGAAGATAAATACCAGAACGAAATGTATATATTGACATCCAGCAATAAAGTAGTGTGGCTACCGATGCCTGGTCCAGATGTTAGACTGGCACTAAAGTTCATTAGAAAAAGTCGCTTAAAACCATTTTTACTTCAGTAACATCACTGTGAGGATACACCGGGAAGGAAAACAACTTTTGTCTATAGACAGTTTCAATTGAACTTGTGATCGAATTGGTATAATAAGGAGGCACGGTAGTCTAGGTGTAGGACACCAGGCTCGTGACCGAAGGGTTGCGGGTTCGAGTCACGGCACGGCACTGTCTTGTATCTTTGAGCAAGATACTTTTGACTCCGCTTTTTCCAGTATACTCAGCTGAAAATGAGCACGTGGCTGGGCAGTGTTAGAGTTGTGGAATGCTAGCAGTGAGCGCTGAAATGGCAACACCGGCTGTATGCTCCCCAGAGAGTTGAGAAATATATTGGCTATAACCAAGGATAATAATTTGTGAACCGCTTTGAGACGACCTACGAACTAGGTTGTGATAACGCGGTATATAAGAACCTCGAATTATTATTATTATTATAATATGTATGTACCTAGTCAAGGTCTGGTAAATTGTCTCTGACTTAACAAGTGATTGTATTTTCGTTGTGATAAAGAAAGATATTTCGAGATTGTATTTCCTACTTTGCTTAGAGAAACACTTATTAGACTTATTGGCATTTCATGCATTTTAAGTTTTAAAATAGTACTCCTGCTTATGTGACTAGAGATAAAAAAAATATTTTATTTCCACTGCAAGTCCCTATGATCATTTTTACTACTATGACCGAAATTGGATCAGTGTAATTTTGACACTTCTCCCGCATACCGTGAAACGGTCGTTATACATGTAACCAAACGTTAAGATGACGTCAGACTTCGATGAATGTCGTCTGCTCTGACGATGCAGAAGCTTCAAAACATAAAAGTTATATTTTGATCACTAATTAGAATATCAATATACGTACTGAACAGCAGTTTTGTTTTGTTTTTTTGTTTATTTTTTTTTGCAGAGATAGATTTCATCGATAATCTATAAGGTGCATCACATGATCAACTGGAAAAAAAAACAAGTTAAGGACATCTTGTTAAACGCCTTAAGCACTAGCGTAACTGGAACCAAAAAACCGGCACACCATGTCACACACTTCCTGCCTATATTGGAACCAAACACCAACACACCATGTCACACACTTCCAGCCTAGATTGGAACCAAATACCCAACACATCCTGTCAGACACTTCTGGCACAGGCCAGATTGAAACCAAAAACGAACACACCCTGGCATGCCCTTCCAGCCCAGATTGGAACTAAAAACCAACACACAATGTCACACACTTCTAGCCCAGATTGGAACCAACAACCTTACAACCCTGTTACACACTTTCAGCCCAGATTGGAACCAAAAACCTTACAACCCTGTTACACACGTTCAGTCCAGATTGGAACCAAAAACCTTACAACCCTGTTACACACTTTCAGCCCAGATTGGAAACAGAAAACAACACACCATGTCACACACTTCCAGCCCTGATTGGAACCAGAAACCAACACACCATGTCACACACTTCTAGCCCAGAGTTGGAACCAAAAACCAACACACCCTGTCACACCCTTCCAGCCCAGGTTGGAACCAACAACCAACACAACATGTCACACACTTCCAGCCCAGGTTGGAACCAACAACCAACACATCATGTCACACACTTCCAGCCCAGGTTGGAACCAAACACCAACACACCCTGTCACACCCTTCCAGCCCAGGTTGGAACCAACAACCAACACACCCTGTCACACCCTTCCAGCCCAGATTGGAACCAAACACCAACACGCCATGTCTCACACTTTCAGCCCAGATTGGAACCAAAAACCTTACAACCCTGTTACACACTTTCAGCCCAGATTGGAACCAACAACCAACACACCATGTCACACACTTCTAGCCCGGATTGGAACCAGAAACCAACACACCATGGCACACACTTCCAGCCTAGATTGGAACCAGAAACCAACACACAATGTCCCACACTTCCAGCCCAGATTGGAACCAAACATCAACATGCCATGTCTCACACTTTCAGCCCAGATTGGAACCAAAAACCTTACAACCCTGTTACACACTTTCAGCCCAGATTGGAACCAAACACCTTACACACCATGTCAGACACTTCCAGCCCAGGTTGGAACCAACAACCAACACACCATGTCACACACTTCTAGCCCGGATTGGAACCAGAAACCAACACATCATGTCACACACTTCCAGCCCAGGTTGGAACCAACAACCAACACATCCTGTCAGACACTTCCGGTCTAGGCCAGATTGAAAGCATAATGTGATACCTTCTTGTTTGATGGTAGGTCGCGAGTTCGAGACCTACGTTGGGCAGTTGCCAGGTTCTTGCCGCAAGTTGGTGGCTTTTCTCTGGATATTCCGGCTATCCTCCACCGCCAAAACCTGGAACGTCCTCAAATGACCATACTTGTTAATAGGACGTAAAACACAAACCAAACCAATCTTAGTTGATGGGACGGATGATTCTACAGAAAGCACAAGTACTAAAGGAAAGTATCAGCGATGTGTCTGGTGTCATTGCTAGTTCTTGCCTAGTGTTATCATGACTTATTTTACGTTAAACATCAAAAGTTCCAAACTCCACTTGTATAAAGTAAAAAAAAACGACATGGTAATTGTTAGTTTATCTAGTGGAATTGTATAGTCACTTGCGTTCCTGTGTTGACAATTTTCATGTTAGTGTTCCGTGTTGTTTTGTTGTTGCTACCTGCCATCTCGATGGGGGGACGGGACGTTACTTAGATTAGACCTAAATTACCATGCATGGCGAGTGACAGTGTAAGTGCAGCTTTTAAGTGGAATTTTTTGTAGCAATTTAGTTTCAGCTTTACAAAATCCTCACCCAAACCCTCACATCCATATTCAAAAATTGCTAACATATGGGTATTATAATATACATTTATTAATTATTTACAGTCTATCTATTTAGTACACTAAGTTGTTTTATTTTTCGAATCGCTTCTAATTGTTTTGAGGCTTTAGAACAGATACTTTTGATTTGGTTAGCCCTTTTTTCGTTTTTTCGTATTGTCAAATGTGACATCAATGTCAAGTTTAGAAGAAGAGATTAACAGAAAAGTTGTTTTGTTAAGATTTAATTTTGCTGTCCGAGTGGAAACCTATATGTTACAACTAGCTGTTTCAAAATAGATATTTATTATTCAACATAATTTTTGACATGAGGAAGCAGTAACGGTACATGGTATGGGTGTCCCCTGTAAAGAGATTATATCAGCTTTACAATTGATCGCATATATAATGTATGTAAATAAAATAATAACAAAAGGCCAAGAACAGATCCTTGTGGTAAAACAGCAGTTTTAGTTTTTAAAACTGAAGGTTTCTTTATATAAATACGAGCTATATATCTTCGTTAAAAGGTTTTCAGGCAAAAAAAATCTACTTGTATTTATTTAGAACAACGGCATGTAAAACGCTATCAAAGGCTTTGGAAATGACACAAATAGCAGAATAAAAATGTCAACCGTTTTCAATAGCATAACAGATTTTTTCGTAAATTTCAGGTGTGAGAAAAAGCTACCTACCTGATAAAATGAGCCTTTAAACATCGATGACGTCACTAGCAAATAGTTATGTTCATATTTTGTTTTTAATGATTAAAATGACCTAAGCTGTTAATAGGACGTTAAACGATATAAAACCAAACCAAATTAATGATTCATATAATTTCTATTTAATAACAAGAGGCCCAGAGGACCTGTATCGCTCACCTGAATATGTTTAAAATAATTGGTATGAAGTAAAGATATAACACTCCATGGTAGGTGCTGTAAGTACATATGAAATTTCAGAAAAATCCATCCAGTACTTGAGATATAACGAATCATTTAGTATACAAAATTGAGTCCCCTTGACCCAAGGATGCTCCAGACTAAATTAGGATAAAATTCCTTAATCCCTACGATAGAAAGAAGGATTTTGAAGGTTTTACCTCTATTTCCCCTATTGCGCCCCGCCCCTCTAAAAAAAACATAATGGACATGAAATCTGCTTCAGATGATGTACAGTTAAACTGTAACCATTGTGTATTACAGTGTATGTGCATATTTTGTTCTACTAATACAGATATATAAAGTATAAATAATATTAATATAGTTACTGTTCCAGTGTGTAGAGGTTATGGAAGCCAGGGTTGACCAGACCCTGGCGAATGTGGAGAGGATTAATCCAACCATCCCCAGGAAACACACAGCTAATCTGAGCTCCTATAGAATAAATGTGTTATGCAATTCTAAAATATTCACACTAAAATAAATATGGACGGCTATTTCAGGAATGAAACTGTACAATATGTCACCGCCATGCTTTTACACGGAATGTCATTAACACGTGTAAAACCTCTATGCTCGTGGCAGGAACACATACGCTCCCTAATTATTAAGATGGAGCTAACGATCGACCCAAGATGGCGATTTCATTTTTTTTACTTTTCTTGCACAAACGTATTTATGAGTGTGTTCCAGCTTTAACACCGGCACAGGGTCTGCGAAATAGCGACAGAGTCTGCAGTGTTGAGGATTAAATGGTGTAATACAACGTGTTAGCGAGGCACGCCTGGCGACGGGAGAGACCGGATAACAAGCTCTACTCCCTAAAGCAGTGCTCGTAAAATCACACAGAGGTTAATTTATTGCTCCTGTTTTTGCCCCGGGGTGATTTGCCATGGACTAAACTTTCACTGCTCTAATTGTCCTTGTGTGTAAGAAATAATAACTATTTCACAGGAAGAGACCTGAAATACTGTAAAAAAAAAAAATTCTATTTTCTTCTTTTCTTCCTCAAAGGCAATCATCGAATAACGGCTCTCGAAGTTCAGATAAAACACATTTTTCTGCATTAATGCTTTTCAATCTATCAATGTCGGTTGGCTTTTTAAAGTATTTTCTTTTCTTTTACAATTTTATTGTAAATACTTTAAAATACGTTTCTGAAGAGAGAATTGACTGCTACAATTTACAACGATAACACAATACAAAATTGGAGTGCATCAAACACATAAACTAAGTTAATACCACGTTTACACGTCCGTATTCATATAAAAGCCATTCACCCACACGATTTAGCATAACAATATTTTAATTCTAGCAAGGATGGACCAAGGTCAAGAGTGGGTTCAAAAAACACACCAAGGGAATATCAAAGTGTCATCAAAATCATATTCTGAACTCAAAATTGAAAAGAGTATGGAAAAATATAAACAAATGAAATTGCCTTCTGCTTCATTGACGATACCCGTCATATTACATCTAGGTCAAATCAAGGAACGTCACGTCCTCACACCGAGAACTCCATTTTGATAACAACACGAAAAGGCACACTTTTGAGCATAATCAAAAACGTCGACCTTC